ATAAATTCTTTTGTATATTCTGTTGTAATATGCTTGGCTGAGGTGACTGTTGCTGTAGTTTTTGTATTAGACTTGCTAGTTAGATAGGTTAGAGGATTAATAAGAGATAAGGTGCTGGAGGAGGTGGCATTGTTGTGTACTTGTTGAGCAGTTGTTTTAGATTCTGCATTAATTTGGTTGCTGTTATTAGTTAATATAGTTCTGCTACTAGTTGCAGCATTAGTTGTTATAGAGAGGTCCATAGGACCAATTCCACTCAACAGATGAAGGTTTGTCTGAAGGTTGTTTTTCCCATTTTTTACCTGTAGTGTTGGCAAGAGGAGGTCTTATGACCACAAGTATGTGCTTTTTATATGCTAATTTGGGTGTCAATCAAGTTTACTTAGGGGCCAGAGATACGTTTACTTAGTGTACTTTTGTATTATTTGCCTTGAAAGTTTTTCTTTCTTAGTTTCGGTTTTGGTAAAAGTGATCTGCAGATTAGGGTTAGAATTAAGCATTTGATAAGTTGCAAATATATTTTTTATTAAATTTTATTTGGCATGATATTGGCTAAATAATCTGTTAGTGAAGTAATTGTTATAAACTAATATAAACCTTTATTAATTTAGCTAGGCTATTCTACTTATAAATAATATTCAAAATATCTTTTATATTAAACAAAACAAAACAGGAGTCTTTTCTCTTATTTTTTAATCATTATTAAAAATAGTTATTTAGCTCATAGATTTTGTATATTTATTATATCTTAATCAATTAGTTAATATTACAGATAATTATGAAATCAGATAATAGTAAAATTTAAAAATCTTTATTTGAAAACATAAACTCTATCAAAATCTACCTATACTATTTTACTAATTACAATAACTCTATATCCTAACTTAACTATAAAAAACTAACAAAAAAGGCTCCAATAAATTTTAAAATTATATATAAAATAAATCCAAATTCCATTATCATCAGATTTATAATCATCTTGATAGTTAATTAAAATTAAAACTATAATTATAAATAGCTATTTTACTTAAATACATAAATCTATATTTATTTTTTTAAAAGATTTTAAGAACTAGAGTACAAAAATAAATTGCAAATAGTTTTAATTAGTATTTACTATTTATTTGTTTTAAGACTTATGATTTTATAATTTATAAAGCTGAGATATATATATATGAATTATATCAGTCACTCAATTTTTTACAGAATTTTGAACATAAATTTTTTATATATAAAATTATAGCAAAAACATATAGAATTACTTATAAACTTTGAAGCTGTGATGTTTTTTACTTACATATTAACTTAAATTAAATTTTATAAATAAATATATCAAAAAAAGTAGAGTTTCAATCTGGATAAATCCATCATCCGTTTATCCATATCCAATTATCTGGATAATCCAAATCGCCCAGATATCCAGATAATCCGAAGGGTAATCAGATAATTTCCGGATATTAATAGTAAAATGGATATCTGAATAAATTCAGATTCGGATATCTGATAGATAAATAGATAAGTGGATAATGGATCGAAACACTAAAAAAAAGAAAATAAAATGCTTTTAATACTGAATTAAAGTTTTACAATTTTGATATAATTTGAAAATGTAACTTTGTTAAACAGTTTTAAAGCAATAATTATATGTAAAATTATACCCAGATCAACTCAAAACCTTTTTTTATTTTTTTTAACTCCCTACTGGAGATGTTCAGGATATAATTTTACATATAATTATTGTTTTAAACTATTAATTTTTGTTGACAAAGCTATATTTTCAAATTGTATCAAAATTATAAAATTTTAGTTTAGCTTAAAATGTATTTTATTCTTCTTTTTTTGATATATTTATTTGTAAAATTTAATTTAAAGTTAATATGTAAGGGAAGAAACCATCAGGTTTCAAAGTTTATAAGCAATTCTATATGTTTTTTGCTATAATTTTATATATAAAAAATTTAGACGTGACATATTTTGTGACTGATATAAATTTAGCAAATTATATTTCATGTTAAGGCAAAATAGCAATTCAATAAATATTTAATAACAAGATTGTCATATTCAGATTAAAACCTTTATTGCTTACTAATGAAATACGGGATAGTAATTTTGCCACCGACGAATGTAAAACTTATGTTCAGATTGTACGGAATTTCGAATAATATTCAAATGCTCGGTTAAAATCGACATCGGGAGAATCAGGAAGAAAATCATAAACGAAATTTAAAATGTTTTGACTCTTAATTTTTGATTTTGGATTAATTATTTCTATTAAACAATTGCGTAATAAATTTTCAAGCGATTCGTGTCTTATCTCTGCGAATGATTCTATTAAGATTTTGCCAATTTGTTCTAATCTTGTTTCGAAAACGAGAAGGATGTCAAGAATGACGCGATGATTTAATTGAAATCCG